GGGCTTCGCTCTCCAGTGTGCGGGGTTGCGCGTGTGCGGGCTTCACCCTCAGTGTGCGTGGTTGCGAGTGTGCGGGCTTCGCTCTCCAGTGTGCGTGGTTGCGCGTGTGCGCGCTTCGCTCTCCAGTGTGCGTGGTTGCGCGTGTGCGCGCTTTGTGAGTGGTCGCGAGTGCCCTGCGTTCTCGCCACCTGTTTTTGGGAGAGCTGGCATCCTAGTCCAGAGCCGGTGCCCTCCGCGAGGAACGGACGCGGAGGGACCCAGCCTGGCGCGCGTCCCTCCCTCTCTTCCCCGGAGCAACCCCTCCCTCCCCTGAGCACCCCCCTCGCCTGAGCCCTCCCTCCCTCCTCGAATCGCGAAGCAAGGGGGAGGGCACTGGAGGGCCTGGCCCGCTGCAGTGTTGGCGACGTCAGCGCTTGTCCAGGCATCCTATTCTGGGAACTGAGGATAAAATGCCCCAAAGACCAAAAACTGAGCAGAGGTGTAGGTGATTTTGTACCCTTTCCACAGGCATCCTAGACTCCAAAAACCGTTCATTTGCAGAATGTTTTCCCACGCTAACTGGTGAATACATCGTAGAGGCTCCCGGGCGGTCGTGTTAATGGGGTGTTTTAGGGCATTCACATAAATCTCCTTTGATCCTGCCCTGTATCCTGGCAAGGGGAACAAGGTAAAAACCTTACAGATGTTCCCTCTTTTCCCCTGGGAGCAGTTGAGACAAAACCATCAAACCTTTAGGGACTCACCCGCTCCTGCTTTCCTTCAAAAAAGCTTGATTGGTGCTCATTGGGTGCATTTTGGTGCCTCTTCTGCTCAGTTTCCTTACGCTTGCCTGCTTTTCTTTCTTTCTTTCTTTCTTTCTTTCTTTCTTTCTTTCTTTCTTTTTTTTCCTCTCTCTTTTAATTTCTGGAATATTTTGAATGTAAAGCACAGTCTGGTATCTAACCAATCCACGACTTAGGTTTTACGGATATAATTGTTTTGCCAAATTTACTTCACATCCTTAAAAAAAAAAAATCTGGAGGTGATCTCAGTTCCTCCTCCCAGAGGTAGCCACGGTGTTCAGGTTTGGGTAAATGATTTCCTTGCATGTTTTATACACAGTGATGCGAATCTGTAAACATATATAGTATTGCCGGTTTTTAAGCTTTAATGGTATTAAACTATATATGTCTTTTTGCAACTTGCTTTGTTCACTCAGCATTGCATTTTGAAATTTATATACTAATAAAGTGAATGTGCTTTTTCTGGTTTATTGATTTTAATTGCTGGTATCGAGTTACACTGTGCATGTGAATATGCCATAATTTACGTATACATTCCTCTGCTAATGGACTTTAAAGTTCTTTTCAGGGCCGAGGATGTAGCTCAGCGGCAGGGCACCTGCCTGGCAAGTGCGAGCCCCTGAGTTCTGTTCCCGGTACCAAAAATGAAAATAAAGTAAAACAAACAAACAAACAAACAAAAAGTTGTTTTCCGTTTTGAGTCCTAAAAACAAGCTCGCAATAAATCTGTCCTTGTCTGCTGCACACGTTTGGAAGTTTGACTCCAGTGCCCCTAGTGGCACCTACTGGGTAGTAGAATATGCGCATGTTCAATTTAACCAGATGTTACAGAGCTCTCAAAGTGGTTTTGCCGATTTTTAGCCTCACTGGTACTGAGAACGCCATTTCCTAACATCCTTGTTAACACTTTGTGTTATCAGACTAATGTTTTTGCCTTCTCTTTACTGACCAGCTTCTTTTTAACTGTAGCTTGCTGCTAAGTTTGCTTTGAGCCGCTTTGGCTTCCTTCCTATCCCTATGTCTTTCTATGGGTTCATTTCTCACAGCGAATTGGCTATTTTTATCACATTTGAGCCTCAAAAAATTAATTTCGGTGAACATTCATATATACCAATTGTTGCTATGGTTGACATAGAGATCGAATTTCCATGATATGATCGAATTTCCATGATATGAATGTACAAGATGTGCATCTCTAGTGGCACGTGATTGAAAGCATTTTTTGATATCAATGTTTTAAAAAATCTTGTCTCTTTTATTGTAATATTTGTTATGTTTAAAATATATGTAACAAATGTGCAAGCTGTGAAGTAAACAAAATGAACACCTATGAAATGACCAGTCAATCCAAGAATCAAAATAACCTATATATAGATACCTATCTATCTATGTATCTATCTATATATATTCTTTTTTTTTTTTTTTTTTTTTTTTTTTTTTTTTGGTGTTTTTGAGACAGGTCCTGGCTCTGCAGTTCAGGCTGGCCTTGAGCTCACTTTGGAGCCCAGGCTGTTCTCGAACTCACAGCTATCTTCCTGCCTCAGGCTCCTGAGTGCTGGCATTACAGGTGTGCGCCACCACACTTGGCTTTCAAAATAACCAATATTGAATGCTCTCACATAAGATGATTATCTTGAATTGTATGTTTAGTAATAATTTGCTAATAACGAATTTACTAATATTTTTATCAGATTTATATACATCTTTCAACAATGATTATATAGTTTCTGTTTTTCTGCATAAAAATCATTCTGAGTAAGGTTTTCTGGCACTTGTTTCTTTCACTTGATGTTATGTTTCTGTCACTAAAATTGAGTGTAGAGGCAAACCATTAATTCACTGCTGTGTATTATTCTGGGGGGGTGAATATAACACAGTTCATGCATTTTCCTGTTCTTGGGCATTTTGGGATTATTTCTGGGTTTTATTATTTTGAAGATTCCTGTACATTTTTCCTGCACAGAGTTCTAAGAGTTTCTGTATTTTTCATCCTGGTATACTTATATGACTCCAAGAAAATAAAGATGTTCTAAGGAGTATATGAGTATAGGTGATGTTATGAATAAATTTCTAGATCATTAAATTTTGTGTACCCTTTTCTAAAATTGATAACTAGCGATAGAGGTCCCCTGAAAGTTCCATAGTCCTACCTTTACTTTTACAGTAGCACTTTATATAAGAGAGGCGGACCACCTACCCACGTGGGAAAACTAGAAAATAGTGCCACAAACAGCCCCTGGAAAACAAAGGGAAAAATACAGTGTACAGTTTGGGAAGAATCTCTTTTAATCCATATACCTCCTCTTCCATTTCTTCAAGAAATGCATTTCCAATAAAATTTCACTTTTTCTGTTTAATTATCAGGATGTACAACTATTTTTGGTCAATTGTGTGGTAATAATTATACTTTTAAAAGAATCATCAATTTTACTTTGTCACTCATTTGCAATTGTTTAAACTTAATGCTGAAAGTTTTTAGATGTCATCGTAACATGTGATAGGTATATAATTTTCAAAAGCAACTGTGGTGGTTTCTGGGCAACAATAAAAAAGGATTGGAATAGTACCATAGCAGGCTGATGGCTAGAAGTGGAATTGCTGGCTCAAGGGGTATGAATGTGTAACATCATGAAACGATTCCAGGTTTTTTTGAAGTGTCAATTTATATATTTTGACAAGCAGAGTATAACAGAGTTGA